TTCGGAGGAACGTATCGCCTCCATCTTCAGGGTAGAAGAAAAATATAAGAAATCTGCAAGCGAAGAGACCATGAGAAACGGTAAAAGCAGACTGTGTTGGAAATATACACAGCTATATGACAGCAGAGATTTCTTATATTTTTCTTCTACCCTGAAGATGGAGGCGATACGTTCCTCCGAAACGTCGGTTAACACCACATATACACGGTGCCAAATCCCAGAAGACTGCTTTCTTCATAGTCACCGCCGTGAAAGCCTCAAATCTTACATATTTCGATTTAGTTTCCCATGATTGGCTGCTTATGAAAATTGCGGCCTCGTTGAGTGGACTCGAAGGTAGTTGTGTGGATAAGGGAATTCTTTTTGGTGGTACATAGGGAGTTAAATAGGAGAGCAATAATCGGAGAAAGTCAGAGTACCGTCAGGAGTTCCGGAAGAGAGTGTACTGGGTCCACTGCTGTTCCTCGCGTACGTACACAGAGAGTTAGAGTAGGAGGGCAGTTACCGGAGGAAGTCAGAGTACCGTCAGGAGTACCGGAAGCAAGTGCACTGGGTCAGCTTCTGTGCCTCGAGTACGTAAATATATTTGAGAAAATGTTGAGTCAACTATTAAGACTTTTAGCAGATTACTGTATAATATTTAGGAAAATTACAAAAAATGAAGATATGGAAATTTGCAAATAGATCTGAACAGGCCGGGGGAGTGGGCGGTTGAAAATGCGATGGTAATTAATCCTACCAAAAGCAAGGCAGTTTGATTCACGAGAGCCTGAGTAACGGAACCACTGAACAATTCGTTACGGGGCATAGTAATTCCGGAAATGAGCAGTTGTAAATACTTGGGAATAATTTTACGCAACGATTTAAGTTGGGTTGACAAGTTACTTGCACGATGAAGAAAGCTTGGAGAGCACTTCATTTTACAATACGTTTTCTTACCAAAGGGAAATAGTAACACTAAAAGTTTAGCCTGCACTTAACTAGTGCTTCCGAGTCTTGAATATGAAGCGGCGTGCTGGGATCCTTATCGGAAGGGACACATAAATGCACTAGACCGGGTGCAAAACTTGGTGGCTAAATTTGCACATCATAGAACAGATTCGATTAAAGAAACCTTGAAAGAACGCAGAAAGAAATCTCGCATATGTACTGTCTTCAAACGTACACTGGAGAACCAGCTTGGAAGGCTATAGATAATAGAGTACAAGGACCATATTATTTGAGCATGGTCGATCATGATAGGAAAATTAGGAGCAGAAAGCAAAGGCCAGATATCGGAAAAGGTTCCTTTGTAAATAGGACTATCCAAGTATGGAACAAACTGCCTGAAGATGCTTTAGGGACTCTCTCGTGTAAATCAAGTAATATTAGGAAAAGGGTTAGGAAAGTGATAAATAAGGGAAAGTGAAAGTGTGGGAGAAATCATCCAAAAATGCAGTGAATTTTGGTAAGGATGTGAAGGTTACGTAAGTGCAGTGAATTGGAATGAAAGGAAGGTCACGGCAAAATGTGTTTGTATCAATTCATGACACTGTGTATTCCATTACTGTTACTGTTCAGTGTATAGTATACTTATTTTTATTAATATCAATTTATTTAATTGTAGTTGTAATCTTATTTACATTTCATTCATTGTGTGTAGAGTGTCCTTTATTGCTTTTGTAGTTTTGTGTGCTATGTTTTGTTTGAGTGTGGTGAGTTATTTTAAGTGGTGTGTGTTATTTGTCTTGTGTCTTATTGTAGTATCACTGCCACTGAATAAAATCTCATTTTCAGTTTAAATAAACAACAGAATACTTTAATGAATCGAAACAACTTAAGAAAGTCCTAATTCTCGTAATAGTGAACACGGTATTATCATGATTTCAGTTACGATATAGGGGATTAAATTGAAAATCGGTTTTCTTGAACTCTCACAACTCATAACTACAAGTAATGAGGCTGCTTTCACTGTTATACACTCTTCACAAAGCACTGTAGGACATACAAAGTCTTCTCAATCTGTTACACCATTCAGTAGCCGTTGCTCAGTAGCGGCCTAAAACGGCGGCCCTTTCTCTTCCTCTGGATTTCCGAAATGTCCCCGGCATCAGCTATCGTCTTCTCGCAGCAGCATCTCGTGATATCTGAATCTCAGTGGTTATTAACTAGGTACAGTTCCAAAATTGTCCTGCTTATAACATCTCGGCACTGACTGCGTAGAAAACACATTTCCTCAATTGCTGCGAAATTTTCGATTGGCTATGGCATGACATTCCATTCTTGCTTGGACAGTCATCTGCACTGACCGCTGCATGGTAACGACCGGTTGTTGTGGCTCCACAATTCTTGTTTGGACCAATGTGCTGCACTGTGTTTATTCTGCAATCGGTTTTAGGGGCCATAAATTTGTTGCTACTGTCCTAATAACAATTTTTTTTTGTGCCTTCTACTAGGTTTTATGAAGCCTGAGCCTGTATACTAATTTGTAATGGGCATTAAAACCAAACATAAAGACGGTAAACATATATTTCCGCAAACTATTAGCAGGATACGTATTGCGTTCCGCGATATCAAATATCTACCCCCTGCTGAGTGGCACATACACAAGTAATTTATGTTTAATAAAAAATATTAAGGATACCACAAGGCACCAAGTTGGAATGTTGCTCTATTCTACAGCTTTCGCTTGGTGATGCAATTTGTACATTATATTTTTATTAAATTCAAAACAAATTGCCCAAACCCTCTCGACAACACAGGATCTGCTACTTCGCCGATGATACAGCAATGTTAGTAGCACATGAAGAGCCAGCAATAACCTCTGTGAAACCCCAGGCCACCATCGATAAGATACACGTAAACGGCTGATCAAAGGATTGAAAAATTAAAATAAATCAAGGAAATGGCCTGACACATTATGAATCATGCTTGTTTTTCACTGAATTACCCTACTACCTTATAACTTCGGGACCGATATATCTTAAGTCACAATCAGAATGTGAGACTTCTGAAAATAGAGACGTAGAAGCCATAATTACGGTAACAAATATACACACATGTTATTATTATTTATTTTAAGATCTTCGAAATCTTTAATTGAAAACTGAGTGCGTATAAATTAAAAGCAAATGCGAGTCACTTTTTCTGTACCTTTAATCCGCACAATAATTGACAATAACTGTACCGCTCGTAATGAGAAATATAACAAAAGCAGGTGGAAGGCAGAGAGTTGCTTGATGGCGCACCATTGCAGTATGAGGCACGTTACTGCCCTTGTGAGTCAGGTAGCGAATTTAGAGTCGTACTCCATCCACTCTGACCCTCTAGAATACTCGTATCAGGATGTTCTCCTTTCAATGTTTCCACTTCACTGTGAGATTTTAGAAATAACTACACAAAAACTACAGGTTACAACAATATTCAGAAACCAGCCGAGCTCTAGGCTACATCCAAGGGACTGGAATCATAATAGCTAGCATTCAGTTCGCTGGTTACCGGGGATACGGCGGGTGAAGGACAAAGATGACAATGCATACAATATTAGTATTACACTCTTGAAATATTAATAACGTAAAGGTAATATTGTCCCCGTGCTTAATTAATTACGCAATAGAACATGAAGGCGTATGGGGGAGTAGATGTATGGATCCATATAGTCTTGACCTCTGCACTAATTGGAACTGAGTCATCAAAATCAACATAAGTAACGTTAAACTGTAAATTTTTGTATAATTTTTCATTATTGCAATAGTGAAAACCTGCCTCATATTTATAAATATTATAGGAACTAAAACCCCATGTGTGTATCTGTGACAAATGGCGGATATAAATTTTGTTAACTTCTTCTTGTGGAATTATTTGAATTTAGCTTTCGTTCCTATTACACGCCTTTGTGGTCTACACTGAACTAAAAGAGCTAACATTTCATTGACTATAACATCGGACCACCTCTTTTCAAATTAATTAACCGCAAAACTGGGATACATTTTTCTGAAATTACTATAGACGTTTCAGCAATGGAAGATGGTGAAATCTTGCACTTCATCTGCTGAATAGAAAGGGCACAAATGTCATTCTGTGCTACATAAGATTACTCTTCTTCAACCTATCAATTTAATATATAGGAAAGTACGTTAAAACGTGCTATTTCCGTTTGTGTTCTTTGAAATTTGTGCCTAACAAAAATATCTTACTACCAAGTAAAAATTTTTAAATTATGTAATATTCAATGACTAGTCAATGGGTTTAATGAAGTTCATATTAGTTTATTTATTAGCATCTTGTTATAGAGAGGAATATTTAGTTCAAAGGTTCTCAACCTTTGTCAGAATACAGGCTGGTAAATTCTCCTTTCTATGAGGCGAGGGCCGGTTTTATTGACGCCAGGGCCCGGTACCGGACAGCGGGCCGGCGGTTGAAAAACACTGGAACAGATTACAAGAACAACTATTTCCTGTGTTATTTAATCACTTCCTTCCACTGAATTTAATTTGTAGATCGAATGAACTGAGCAAATCATTATGTAGAGAAAATAGGTGCGGATTCTTTGAAAATAATTCTACGTCCCTGTTGGTAGCTAGAAAATAGAGGACCGAATCTTAGGGTGTAGACCTATGATGGATTGGAAAGAATTTGGAAAATAACGGTGGAGGCTTAGCCGGAAACTTTCCTGGGAAGTCAGAGGAAAACCACGAAAAACCTTAATAGGAAAGCAGGAGACCCGGCAAAGTTTCTAATCCAGTTCCACTCGAATAAAATTTAAGTTATTTACAGCTACAACAAACCTTTCAGTAGTAAGGATCAGAAAGGCGGTTGCTGTTGACTTCAAGGTACCATCCGAGCGTTAGCCTGCAGATCGATAAAAAACGCCGCCAGTGAGAGTAATTCGACGTACATTTGGACCAAACGGAATCCGAATAGATGTCTGGACATTACCTTCTATGTTGGTTTCTTAAAACATCATATGATCTGTGTTGGGTATGCGCACTTCATGAATTGCACTTTCCTCTGCATTTCAGGCGAGAATCCTGCGGCCATGCAGCACGGAGGACGAGGCCTGTCCTGGTTACACAGTCCGTCCGCATGGCTGCTCCTGGCATGTGTCGTGGTCTCTGTTTTATCGGGACGTCTAACCTTCACGGCAACAGCGACGCCATCTAACGAGACAGTGAACATTGTTGATTGCTCGCCATAGCGACTCCACGCTGCCTTGCAGTGAGTGCCAGCGAGGGAGCTGAGCCTTTTGCCAACAAAGTGGACCGTGAATTGAAACTAAAGTGAAAATGTCAACAGTATTTGGATCCAATTTGTTGTGCAGTAACTCGTTCTTGTTGTTTCCTTATAAATAAACAAAAGGTTGTAGTATATGTCATGGCCAGAACTAACAGTGAACTTTACAACGAAACTGATTGCCTGTCATGCGAACATGGCACGGACAAACATGTCGGCTGCATGTGAAAATGGATCTCATTCCATTAATCATATTGGTTTAATAATTCCATATTAAATACCTCTAATTGAAGTACTGTGCAGGTTTACCGTGATAATATATCAACACTCATTCCGGAAAACATTCACTACGAATATAGTGAAGTTAGAACTTTAAAGAAGTTGCTGGAGGCTACATGCCTATAAGTGCGTAAACATATAAGAGTGACAGAGAAGGAAAATAGAAGCGAATGGGACTCATATCAACAAAACAATCAGTATAGATGTCTATCTGAAGATACGTGAGTGTGGTTATTTGAAGCCAGTAAAATTATGTTAGGCATTTCTCGTAGTCTTTTGTACATTTAATGGTTCTAACATTTTCAAATTTGTTTATATCTTTAGCTTTAGTGCCTGGTTAATGGTGCGATATATTTTATTTGTTAATTTATTTTGTTTTATATTGTATCAACGACTGGTAATGGTTCAGAATCTTCCGATTTCGAAAATAACTTGTTAACTATCCGACTACTCTAGTATCAGCGAATAAATTTAACAAGCATAAAGCAAGAGCAAATAAGGTTTTAATTACTCGTACGTAGACAATTAATGACGAGAGGAGAAGAACCATTTGGAAATAATGTGATGTAGGAGCTCAAGTTGTTTTCGCCCTCAAATATTTTCAAGACAGAACCTTGCAACTACATAATGTAGCTTGTGGGAATTTAAGATTTTGTGAAGAAATTATGAACTTTGTCACTTTATAAAATCCGGTTATATAAATCTTTTGTTATGGAGCAAATATACTGTCGCACGACGCAAATGAGATGATTAATATACGAAATGACTGATTTAAACATTCGTATCAAGTACCTGTGAAAATTTGAATTTCTTTTATGCCGGTAATTAAAATGTAGCATTTAAAAAGGAATCGGCTTGTATGGCTAATCTAATTTAATATGACTAATTAATTTAAAATGATAGAAGAAATTTAGCAAGCTCAGAAGAGTATTTTATTTTAAATGGAATTTGCAGTGTTGTTGCCACTTTTTATTACATTCCTGAAAGAGTGTGTCTCCAGCGTGGATTACACACGCAGAGCATGCTATCGGAACTCTTTCTCAGACGTGACTTTACCTATATCCTAGTACATAACTGTACCCAGACTGAACATATGTTACTAACATTAAGTGCAGACTGTATCTCTGTGGGATTAGTATTTAACCACGCAAAGGCTGGTTTTTTTTTCTGTTACAGACTAGTAAAGGTGGTGTGAAGTACAGTTTCATGTAACACCAGGATTGAATTTAATCTCCTGAACAGTTTCTTAACTGTGCATAAACCGAGAAATTGCCTTCAAGAAGGCACTAACGACTGATATTCGCTGAAGTTCTGAAATGCGAAAAATATTATGAAAATAGCCTAGGCCGAAGTCAGAACACGTTTCAGGATTAAACTCTTTTAAGATTTGAGTGATATTTAATATTCAATTATCACGCTCAAAGTGTAAATACCAGAACATAAACTGCGTTGCAAGATGCATTTTTATAAATCATGTCTAGAGTGTAATTTATATATAATGTATGAGTTTATGAAAGGGGAGACTGTTGTGGATACAAGCATGATCTAGTATAATGAGACAACCGGTATGGTCATGTGCTTTTTTTCTCATTAACTCCACTGTATCCATCCTCGACCTCTTCACACTAAGGTATCCTTTTTAAAATATCAAGGTTCATGCTTCTTGTGGTGATTTATATGTCAAAGTGATCTCAAACTAAGAATTGTTATAAGGAAACAACTCTGATAGGCTTTCCAAATAAGTTCCAAAGTTAATTCCTGCTAAAGTGAAGAACAGTTAATTCCATACATTATGTAAACTGTGGGTACGTCTAGACCTTCAACGAATTCACTAAACGGAAATGAAAGTAATGTATTTGACATTCAACTTTAATCCTTAATAATGTAAAACCAATTACTTTCCTATATTAAATGTCTGAGTGATATAATCGATGTTTATTCGGATAAACCGCGATATTTTTTATGATTTAAGGCACATTTTTAAATATTATTACTGTACGTAAAGAAAGGTTTGACAAATTTGTTATCTGAATTACATTAATCAGATAAGGGGTTAGAATTATTGAATAGAATTTTTCGACACGTTTCTTTCCTCCGCGTAGAAGATTACAAGTCACCTTTGAAGGCCGCTTTAACGTATCAATGGAACAAAACACAAATCAGTTTTCTGCAGAAAACCTTTCAAAATTTGTATCTATATTTCGAATGAAGTTTTATAAATATTGCAGCATAAGCCGATACTAGGAAAATGAGGTTAACAAGTATCAGATCAACATGAAATCGAAGTATTTGAAACTTAAAAATATTTTCAGGAAATATTTTAGTCGAGTGAATTCACGAACGGAGCAGTCGGAATTATGTTTTATATTTAAACTTAGTTACTTTAAAAATAAAATACTTATGAGAATTGTTGCTCACTGGCGTACATCATTATGAATCACAAATTTCGTGAATTATATACACTCACATGAAACCTGAAGCCTAGTATTATTATGTTTTTGTAGCTGAACGTTCATTTCTTTGCAAGGGATAGAATGTTCTAGTCTATATTTGCTCATAGAAATAATTAAATTAATCAAATTAATTCTTCTCTATATGTATGATGAACTGGAATGATATAATACTCTCCTAGTTAAATTCATATCGTTTTGGATAGGCAATTGAGTTAATATTGTGCACATGGAATCCATGCTACCGTGCCATGTGTCCTCGTGCTTCATGATCACAAAACTTAATGTTCTCCACGAATTTTTATACGAATCTGATGGAAGTTTATGTTGTAAAATTAACCACTTATTCAATTTAATCAAATATATGATATCACGTTTTTTCTAGTGCAATAATTACAAGCCATTATTAATAATTTGCTTCGTTATGCAGAACACAAAACTATACTTGCAACCGGAAATCATTTGCTCAGCTAACAATTCAGCATCCATTTTTCCCACGCTGTAGCAGCTTATACTCAACAACAAACCCTCCAGCTCTCAGCAACAGAATACACGTATGAAATTCATGATAATAATAATATGCTTTAACGCGGTTACTTAGTGCAAGATGCTGTCCACAAAACACGTTTTCTGGAAGACTAGAAAAATTAAAATTTTTCATAACATATAATGTTATGAATAAAAATATACGGTAGATAACATGGTTGACCGTGAACTGGTCTCCAGGGTTAGACTCACGGAAATTTGTCTCCTTTTCTTCATCACTTCCAGACACATTTTATAATCACCCAGCTCCTGCTCATTGGGTACCAATGCAGATAAATTGGCCGAAGCTCGAACTTGACCACTGATCTACATTTTTTGAGTAGGCCCTATAATATGTGGAGTTCTGCTTCCACGTCCCTCTTAGACTCCTTACTGCATAGACACAACAGCTAGTTAATTCTGTGCCCTTGCCGCAAGACACAAATGTGCAGCTCTTAAAATATTATGCCTAATGTTGACAAGTTACCTTCTCCAAGATATATTCTTCGCACGACAAGGAATATATCACAGAATTTTTGTAAGCTATGTTTTATTAGAGAGAACAGTTCCGCCATTACGGACTAGAGGAAATGAGCCCGATGGCTCGACCTCCACCCGTCTAGACGGGCTTTACCCAAAGCCATCATGGTCCGAAAGTAGCCAGAGCGTCGACCTTACCAGTCAGGTATATCGCCAGCCAAAATCCGGGAAAAATTTACATTAGTAAGATTTGAGGTTTTTCACGGCGGTGACTATAAAGGAAGCAGTCTCCTGGGATGTGGCACCGTGTAGATGTGATATTAACCGACGTTTCGGAGGAACGTATCTCCTCCATCTTCAGGGTAGAAAGAAAAATAAGAAATCCGCAAGCGAAGAGACCGCGAGAACCGGTACAAGCAGACTGATTGTACCGGTACCCTGAAGATTGAGGCGATACGTTCCTCCGAAACGTCGGTTAACACCACATCTACACGGTGCCACATCCCAGAGGTGTGCTTTCTTCAAATTTACATTTGCCTTCATACATTTGTGTTTCTATTTGCCGGGGGAAACTGTCTATTTATTTTAACAAGAGAGAGCTACAGGTTAACCACAAACACCACAAAATCGTGGTTTTCAATTATGTGGAGGTAAAATTCCATGCATTATTCTGATCATTAGGCTAACCAGGCGAGGTACTCAACAAACATAAGACTCCGGTCGTCTTCCTCTCTTATATGCAAGAACCCCTGTCCTTATCATGTGGTAGATAAAAATATGGCTGGAGCCCAAACTTTCTAACGTCCCATCTATTCGATATGATTTTAGTGGCAGGCGTCGGATGAGAATGTGTTCTAGTACTAGGGCCTCCAGAAGCCCTCTGTACCAGCCACTGAGGACAGATGAGCATAGAGCGCTGGCATAATGTTAAACGGACATAAAGCTTCCTCGATGTCACTCTGTTGATCACAAATGTCACATGGATTATCCTGGTACTGAAAACGGTCCTCCGCGGTGAGATGGGCGGCTGAGCTGTGGCGCGGCCGTGTATTCACACGCAACGTTTCGTATTTCGGTTGGTGTTAAACGTGGTTCGTCAATGGCATGTCTCCAAGATGCTGAGTCGTTGAAGGTCTAGATTATATACTTTTCAGGAACAAGTATGGAACTCGAAGAGAAAGAAGAAAGAATCTTTGTGAACCCATAACTTACTGCTTCTAAGAGCCTTGTAGACGATAACCTGGAAGACTGGTGGACCAAGGTTAGGACAGTATCGCAGGTAATACAAAGTGTATCGGTTGGGTGACAGAGGCGAAGCGGATGTTTGTATACGAGATAAAGTAAACCAAATGTTGTACTAATTTTGATCAGTTTCAAACGAAAAGACACGCAAGGTGTAAAGAGTAAATTGAGGCTAGGCACAGCCAAAAAAAAAACAAATGTGAGTTATTGTGGGGGGCCTAAATATTTAAGTAAAATGTATTATTGTGTAAAATAATCGATTAAAGTGTCGTATTTTAATAGTAATTTTCATTTTCTTTTATTTTCTAAATATTCCCTTCCTTCTCGAGTGTGTATTGTTTCCTGGAATTTTCTCTTGCCTGCGGAAACGCCTTAGAACAGAAACTTTGGAGAGTACTGTCTTCTTGAACATAACGCTACGAAGCCCACTGAAAATCAACAGACGTTTCGGAGGATTATATCGCCTCCATATTCAGGGGCGAAATATAAGCCAAGCAAGACACCACCGTTAATGCATACTGAAACCAGAGCCATGATTTTACTTTTATATCTAATTTGGCTTGTTCTTAGAACCTGAAAATGGTGCGATATGAAAACCACAAAGCCCACAATAAAAACGTTGGAAATTGTGGAGTCCTGATATGTACTCCGATAGAGCAGACCCTGCTAAGACCTCTCATCCAGGACTGGGGTTTGTGCTTTCGTCATGCAGACACATTTATTGTCGAGAGAGGTCAGCAGTACCAATAAGTCATACATTTTGTATAGACAAAATCCTTTTGTAGCACCGTGAAAATTCTTTGAAAATAAGAAGGAAAATATGTTCATTCTCAAGTCTCGAATGAAACCAAATTAACTTGTTTGGTACGTGCACAATAATTTTACCTCTGCTATATGAATCCTCTCTAACATTCAGATAACTATCCGTGTAGGGTCCGTAACGAGTTCTCAGTATACGTATATACTCATATCCTCTGTCTGAGGTATGATTCCATATGCATACATATGTTAGACTGGAGCATTGTTTAGCACCTGGCTTGCAAAAACGACATATCGCCTGGTGCTTAAATCGTTGTTCTTTTGCTAGTTACAAATGATAGGTGTTAGATGCTATAACGAAATTAATTCTTAACTTTCTCTGCTTCCATCATCAGGTATTGATGCCATCGAAATCTTTCACGATGGAGGCAGAGGCAGTATCTATGTCATTGGAATTTCATTCTATACTGATACGGCTGATCGCCTTAGAATGCTATTGCATTAATTGCTGTAAAAGCTCAGAATTTTACACACTTAGTTTTTCCTTCGAAGATAAGTTCTAGAGAGCATTTACCGTGAGAAAACTCTTTGAGAAAGAATGCGGAATGAGATGATATGACATACCACAGATTCAGACAGTATTCTGCTGCTTAATTTAAAATGCTAATATATATTTTTAAAATTTTTACATCATTTTATCATGATTTGTTGTGTAAGTTTTTACCCAATATATATTTTTTTTATATTATTGAGGTGAGACTAAATCTCTTGTACTGCGGCCACTTCTGACCTATTGTACCAGCCCCAGATGATAGGTGAGGGTGATTGTGAAGCAATTGGTGGAATGAAGATTGGCAGGGGAAACCGAAGTACTGGGAGAAAACCTGCCCCAGCGCCACTTTTTCCACCAAAAATCCCACTTTACCAGACCCGGGATCGAACCCGGGCGGCCGCGTTGAGAAGCCAGCGACTAACCGCTTGAGCTATGGCGCGGCCCTTACCCAATATTACAATGGGTTCATATGAACTGACAAAAACAAGTGTGGTCTATTCGCTAACGACAAGCAACACAAGACTGAAATGGATAACAGATGTACATGAAATCAACAGCTCTATGAAGCTTATAGGTTTTATTAACTATGAACCTGGGTTTGAGATAATGTTAAATGATTTATTTCCATTTCTATGCACAGGTGAGTAAGACAGGCTATCGAACTGCTGTCCTCTCAACACAGAAACCCGGGTTCGTAGCCGGGAGGCGCAATGCATTTACACTTCTTACAAAGAATGGCAACATACAAAATAGAAAGGGCACTGTATTGAAGTCGTTGTTAATCCCATAATTTATTATATACGTGTAATATTAGATATGTAATTTTATTATTATAAGTATATATGATTATCAATTACAATCCCACGTTTTTATTATTATAAAATAAAAAGTCGTAATGCTGTCATTTGATTAAGAAAACAAAACTGTTATTAAACAAAATTTCCAATTGTACACGCGCGCACAGACACACACACACAGATCTGAAACTAATTACTAGACTGAATTAAATATAAAATAAGGCAAGAGATTTGTCTCAATACTTAACACATTCCAGCAACAATTGCTATCTGTTTATAAGGAGCAAAATTAAGCAAGTGCAGAGCATGTAGCACGCTTATAAGAAATCAGAAATACGTACACAGTTCTAGACTCTAAACCTGTATATTAGAAGCGGTTCGGTAGATACAGACATTTGTGGGGTTAATGTGCGTGTAAAACTTGATTCCTGATATGTTAAACACTTCTTCGCTTTTCCAGAAAAATTGATCTCATCCGTACGAATTTCGCATTTCCATAAAGGAAATTATTCGAATTTACTTAAAATAGTGCTTTGGAAAGCACTCTGAACCTCGAGCTGACACTTTACCGTATGTACACTGACTCCCTCTAAATGTTTAATGATCTTAATATTACGCGATTCCTTACCTTTCATTTGCGTCAAGCTTCAGTTTCTTCACTGGGAAACTTTTTGGTACGCCCGAGTGACCGTTATTAACTTAATTTTTTCTGTTACGAGGTGCGTAAAGTAGGAGAGAAAAGGAAGGTTCCAGCAGATGCAAATTCCCTTCCTCTGTGCTCCATGATGAGTTATCGATCTCCCCCCTCTTCCTGCTGTACCTAAGTCAAAAGCTGTGACGGGGGTGGGAGGTGAGTAACTTTAATCCGGCTACCCTAAAATCCCAGACGCTGAGGGTGCTCCTGGTAAGATAGTGGGACAAGGGGATGTGGGAGGGCGCTTAACTTTATGTTGGGTCCTTCTCGGTAGGAGGAGGAAGGGAACGCGATGTGTATCTGGTTTAGTGTGAGCACAGTGCGCTATATATTGCAGCTAAAGCGAGCTTATAATTTCAGCCATCCTTTGTCTTCTTACAGCGTAGCTCCCTACTTGCTGCCTGCTATATATATTCTTGTCCAGCTCATCTTTAACTACAATAAGTACTTGATTTGTATTCAACGTAGAAAAGCGCTCACAGAATAACTCAGCAACACAATACATTTTTTTAGACAGTATCCACGATAATAAATGTTAACCGCCAGACATGTCTCGGCCCGTAATGTCCGCCCACGAAAGAGACTCAATGTGTATTATATTCTACAGACTGCTTCCTACGTAATAATTTCCCCAATATTTTTAGGACGACAAAATCAGGAATGAGATGGGTGTGTAGCGTAGCACATACAGTGAAAGGAGCAGTGCTTACAACAGATGTTATAATAAACTTCCTGAGAGACAGAACATTTTCTTAAAAATTTATGAATTTGAATGTAAATCTGTTCTACTATTACTAATCTATTCCAAAAGATTCCTATTTGAAACTTCTTATGTGAAAGTAAGAAACTGAAATAAATTATATTGCAGGAAGATCTGAGAACAGTTCTACATGTAATAAAATAAGTATTTCTTCCTCTATAATATGAATAAACTGGAGGCTACTTAAAAAACTATGTATCGGATTAGGGTAAATGTACACGCAATAAATGGACTTTCTTTACTGAGATTAATTAATTCATTCATGGAAAAGCAGGAGTGGTCTTTTAACTGGGGCATGATCGTTGTCTTTCAAACCGCTATCGAATAACAATATATATTATTTCATAAATCCTCATTATATTCTACATGATTTTTGTTCCAGATACCAGGGTCAGGTTTCAAGCAAACACAGCAAACATTTACGAATGAAAGGATAAGAAAATTTAGACTGAAGTTAACAGATATTTTGGGATCTGTTTCAAGTAAAACAAGAATGAAAATG